AACGTCCATTGTCCATGTAGAGATGAATACATAAATAAATGATTCATAAAATGGACTGCTATTCAGCATTGATAGTAAGTTAATTATAATTACAATGTGGAGTAATTACAGAACAAATGTTGAGTGGAAGAAGCCAGAAATAAAACACTATGTGTATGATTCAATTGTCACAGGTTAAACACGCGAAATATACCTATGAGGTAATAAACCGTCTCAAAAAAAAAAAAAAAGAAACTGTCTTCATTTTCTAAATAAAATGAAATATTTTTATTAATACATACTAATTTTAATCTTAACATTTTCCTGAAAATAGGTTTCAGTATTTTCATGGCACATTAACAGAAAATATTAAAAGACAAATGCTCAATGTAAATAAATTACATTTCATTTTATAAACAATAGAATTTTTGGAGCTTTCTGTCTCTCACTTCCTGTATATGCTTCACTAATTCCACAAACCTGATTGAAATTATTATTGCATTTTATGGCTTAGATATATTTCCAGTGTTTGAAAGAAAACAAAATGTGTCTATTAATAACTTCTGCCTTTCAAGATCTTTGAAAAATAGTGGATTCATTGTCTGTACCTTGTGCCTCAGGCCCACCCAGTCAACACAACACACTTATTCTCATCTATGTGAAACTTTAAGTTTAGATTACAACTATATAACCTTAGAAAATAAAAATGCTGAAAGAACTGCGTCCCTACTCATAAAATTTTTCACTTCTCGAAGATGGGTTTGCACACGCAAAAAAAAAAAAAAAAAAAAGACAAAAAAGTGAGAGGCCAAGGCAGGCAGGCAGATTACGAGGTCAGGAGATCAAGACCATCCAGGCTAACACGGTGAAACCCCGTCTCTACTAAAAATACAAAAAATTAGCCGGGCATGGTGACGGGCGCCTGTGGTTCCAGCTACTCAGGAGGCTGAGGCAGGAGAATGGCATGAACCCCGGAGGCGAAGCTTGCAGTGAGCCGAGATCGCACCACTGCACTCCAGCCTGGGCGACAGAGGGAGACTCCATCTCAAAAAAAAAAAAAAAAAAAAAAAAATATGCACATTTGTAGCTACATTTTCTTTACATACAAACTGGAAATAGTTTCAACGTCCATTGTCCATGTAGAGATGAATACATAAATAAATGATTCATAAAATGGACTGCTATTCAGCATTGATAGTAAGTTAATTATAATTACAATGTGGAGTAATTACAGAACAAATGTTGAGTGGAAGAAGCCAGAAATAAAACACTATGTGTATGATTCAATTGTCACAGGTTAAACACGCGAAATATACCTATGAGGTAATAAATTAGGGTGCTGGTAGTAACACTTTTTTTTTTATTTTTTTTTAAACTCCAGGGGCAGTTTCACTCTTACCTTGATTCTGTAATAATTTCCTGAGCTGTGAATTTATGATTAATGAGCTCATTAGGATATGAATTATACTTCAATTAAAACCTCAAAAATGCAATTTAAAAAATTCACAAGGTAAAAGTCTATAACCAAAGTTAAATCACTAATGTTCAACCAGTAACATCCAGGAAGAAAGGTTAATTTCTTATTTTATGTCCTTAAAAAGCAAAACAGCACAATTTGAGTAAAAAAAAGCTGATTTAAAAAAACTGAAATGTGCTTTCTCCTATAATGTATCACTCTGGGTGTGTAATGCTCTAAAAATATTATAGTTAAAACATTTAGATATATCTTTTGGTATCAGTGTCAAGTAGGAGATGATGTAGAAGAAAATAATTTAAAAGTTGTTTGGCAATTTCCTGTAAGAAAAAATAAATAATCATGATGCAATGCACAACTTGTATTTTGTTCAAAATATGTCAATGCTCTGTTTTTTAACTACATCTTTTAATTTAAAAAAATTTTTTTAAACCGCAGCACAACCAGGATTAACTCAAATATAATACGGAGATGGGAATACAGTGTTTGACATAATCTCTGCTTGGGTGGTGGGTTTCAAAGGGAGTTAAATGTCCAGGAAGACAGTTAACTTTTTGTTTCAATGCCACTGCATAACAGGAGGAAGGAACGAAGCAAGTAAGTCTAAAGCCTTGTTTGAATTTATTAAGTTCTATGCCCTCAGTACTATATCTGCTAATTTGAACAAAGAGAGCCTAGAGCTCAGGTTTGCCCTTGTCCATCCCCTCCTTTCAATCAGACAAAGAAGTGCTTAAAGCTCAATAGTAGTTCCCCTTTATCAATGGTAAACTCTACTTTACACTCTCTTTCTGCAATGATAATTTTATTTCTTTTTTTTACTTTTCTCAATATCCCACCTCTCTTGCCACTCTAAACTGTTAACCTGGTAGTCTGCAGGCTCTGATACTGAAATTATGTCCTCTTCCCATGGCCACATCTAAAATTCTACCTGCATTTGGACATCTCTGTCTCTTCCCTATCATTAAACAAAGTAAAGGAACTTTATGCATTCAAATGCCAGCATTTCCATACTTGTTCCAAATATCATTCCACTTACTTCTTTTGTGGTTCTCATTCTTTTTGGTTAACTTTTATTTTACCATATCTTCCTCTGCCTCTTTATGGGATTCTTAACTTTGATGTTCAAACATGTCTTAGAAACATCTATATAAAAAGACATAAACACAGAAAATACTTTTTTACTAACCCATATTTCTCTTTTATCCTGTACTCACATGCTCTTTCTTTCTTTTTCTATTCTTCTTCACAGAAAAGTTTCTTTGAAATGTTTGTTATTCACTCGTTTGACTTTGTAAGAAGTTTAAACTTCCCCTCCAAAGGTTCACTTTTGAGTCTACTGAAATAAGCTGGCAATAGACAGATTAACAGGAGAAAAGCCAGAACAAATGTGTTTGATCATAGTTTTATGTGACACAACATCTTCAGATTGAAAACTCAAAGATACAGGGGAAGTTGTCTAATTTTATGCTTGGTTTCGTAAGAGCAGGGAGAGCAGTGTAGCAGCAATTGAACAGAAATGGTATGATCTCATGATAATAACCTAAAGGGTAGGACCTAGCAAGGCCTATCCATTCAGATTCTCCTTGGTCTCTGTGTGTTGTATTTCTTCTTTCTGGGATGACGCAGGATCCTCCCTGCCTAAGGAATCTTGTCACCTGCAATCCAAAAATGTAGGTCAGAGTATTTCGTTATGGCCAGTTTTACACAGTAAGGCAGGGAAAAGTTAGAGCAATATTTTAGGTTTTTATGCCTGGCTTTGGAGGAAAGGAGTTCTAGCTTCTATGACTTACCTGGGGAAGAGAAATTTTTGTTTCTGTGGCTTGTCTCAGGGCAGATGAGGGGTGAGAGACAGGAGGGCATGAAAAAATCAGAGAGAAACTTTGCTTCTGAGACTGCTTTTGAGGCCATCGCTTCAGAGTGTCAGTTTCTGAGCCCCAGTAAATTCTCAACTAAAATCAATGTGGCTTCATGCTCGAAAATATTCACTCAAAGACATGTTGTGAAGTCATTAGTGACTTTCATGATGTCACAACCGATTTTTTTAAATTCACATCTTCTTGAAGACACATTTGCATTCGGTCCATTGAGCAATTCCTTATATTTCTTGGCTTTAGTGGCATCAGGACCAGCCACATAATTGATGAAATATGGTACAAAATTTAAAATGTAGAGTGTCTTATTTATAAAATCATTAAGTTTCAAAACTGAGACTTTTGTGGCTCCATATACTTTATAGAATTATCTTTTTATTTCTATAAAGAATGCCATCAAGATTTTGATAGGAATTACATTGACTCTATAGATTGCTTTAGGTAGTATGAACATTTAAACTATATTAAGTGTTCCAATTCAAATCTTGCCATTTATTTGTGTCTTCAGTTTCTTTAAAAATGCTTTATAGTTTTCAGTGTACAAATAGTTTATCTTCTTGATTAAATTTACTCCTAAGTCTTATTTTTTGTGCTACTGCAAATGGGAATGTTTTCTTGTTTTGTTTTTTTAGGTATCTTGTTATTACTCTGTGGAAACCCTACTGATTGCTGTGTGTTGATTTTGTGTTCTGAGACTTTAAAAATTAGTTTATTAGTTCTGATAAGTATTTTTAAAAAAATATGTAGGATTTTCTATATATACAATTATGTCATCTGCAAACAGATCTTGAGCAAAAATAAAATAAAATAACAAAAAAAAAATACAAAAATCCTGAGGCGTCACACTACTTGATCTTAAAATCTACTATAAGTCTAGAGTAATCAAAACAGCATAGTACTGGCATTAAAAATGGACATGGAGCCCAATGGAACAGAAAAGAGGGCCCAGTAAAAAACTCATGCATTTACAGCCAGTTGATTTTCAACAAAGGGACTGAGAACATAAAGTGGAGTAAGGGCAATCTCTTATATAAACGATCTTAGAAAAACTGGATATTCTCATGCAGAAGAATGAAGTTAGACCTTGACCTCACAACTTATACAAAAATTAAGTCAAAATGGATTGAACACTTAAACACAAGATCTGCAACTGTAAAACTACTAGAAGGAAAAATAGTGAAAAAACTTTGTGACATTGGTCTGAGCAAAGATTTTTTGCAAAAGACACCACAAACGCAGTTAACAAAAACAAAAATTAATATATGGACTGAATGAAACTACAAAACTTCTCTACAGATAAGGAAATAACAGCATGAAAACAACCTCTGAGATGGGAGAAAACATTTGCAGACCACACATCTGATAAGATGTTAATATCCAAAATACATAATACACATAAACAATTCAATAGCAAAATAAAAGAACAAGCCTGGTGGCTCACACCTGTAATCCCAGCACTTTGGGAGGCTGAGGCGGGTGGATCATGAGGTCAGGAGATTGAGACCATCCTGGCTAACACAGTGAAACCCCGTATCTACTAAAAATACCAAAAAAAAAAAAATAGCTGGGTGTGGTGGCACACGCCTGTAGTCCCACCTACTGGGGAGGCTGAGGCAGAAGAAAGGCGTGAACCTGGGAGGCACAGGTTGCAGTGAGTAGAGATTGCATCACTGCACTCCAGTCTGAGCGACAGAGCGAGACTCTGCCTTTAAAAAAAAAAAAAAAAAAAAACCAGTTAAAATAATAGGCAAAAGAACTAAATAAATATTTCTCAAAACAGAGCATACAAATGGCAAATAGGCATATCAAAAAATGCTCAACATCACTAACCATCAGGGAAATGCAAATCAAAGCAAAAATGAGGTATCACCTCACATCTGTTATGACAGCTACCATCAAAAAGACAAATGTTAACAAGTGCAGGCAAGGGTATGGAGGAAATGGAGATCTTGTACCCTTGATGGGAATGTAAATTAGTATAGCCATGATGAAATAAGTATGGAGGTTTCTCCAAAAATCAAAAATAGAGCTACTATATCATCCAGCAATTACACCTCTGGGTGCATATCCAAAGGAAAGGAATCACTATGTCAAAGAGATATCTGTACTTCCGTGTACACTGCAGTACTATTCACAATAGCGAAGATATGGAATCAACTTAAGTGTCTATCAAAGATGAAAGAATTAAAAATGTGACATATATACCCTTGTAATGTTATTCACCCTTAAAAAAGAAGACAATCCTGTAATTTTAAATGACATTAGTGAGGCTGGAGGACATTATGCTAAGTGAAATAAGCCAAACACAAAAAGACAAATATTGCATGATCTCACTTACATGTGGATCTCACTAAATTTCATTGAGGCAGGAAGAATAAGTTCAGGACATATACTGAACAACATGGTAACCATAGTTTAAAACAAAGCATTTTTATGCCGAAACCACAAAAAGAGTAGATTTAAATGTTCTCACAGCAAAAAAAGAAACAAAACAAAAGATTAATAAATGTGAGAGGTAATGGTTATGTTATTAGCTTAGTTTAGTCATTCCAGAGTTTATGCATGTATCAAAACATCATGCTGCACATCAGAAACATACACAATTTTTGTCAATTAAAATAAATGTTAAAAGTATATATAAACATATATGTAATTATATATATACATATATGTAAATGCATGTGCATATATATATGTGTGTGTATATATATAATTAGAAAATGTTAAAAAAATTAAACCAAATGTAGCACCCTATGTGGCTGCACTGGTCATATGTCATGAAGCCAGCCTGAGATGGCATCAAATTATCTGGGTTCTCTCACATTTCATTGGTCACATGTCATTCTATCTTCACAGTAGGGCTTTTGCTATGTGACTTTTAAATTGATGAGATATCTGTGGCTGGAATCAGAACTTCCCCAGAGTAATTTCATAATTTCCCATATTTCATATAGCAACTGTGTTCTTTCTCATTATGTCATAATTTATTACTCATTTGAACTTTATTTTAGGCCCTTATAGAGTATGGTCTCTTTAATATCTCTTTTATTTTCTCAGCAAAATAGTCTACGAATGTAAAAAAGAAACAGTGCCGTCTAATCTGTCTCTAGTCATTCTATCGTTAATGAGTAAAAGTTAACTTTATATAATCAATTATCTAAGATATTTGTGCATAGACCTTATTACCTCTCTGTGTTTGGGTCTGGATTTTAAAAGGAGATATAAAGTAAGAAAAAAATGACCTGTGATCCTCTCCCTCCTCACTCCAAAATCACAAGTGTTTGAGCAATTACATAAATTCTCAGAAAAAAACAAATGGTAGACAATAAGAGTACACCTGGAGCAAATTATAAATGAAAACAGATTCTGAGGGTATTTCTTTTTGGAATATTAACTGTTCATGCAGGTTATAAAACTGATATATGACACGATATCTGGGCCAGGCATGATAACACATGTTTATAGTCCCAGCTACTCAGGAGACTAAGGTGGGAGGACTGCTTGAACCCAAGAGTTTGAGACTGAAGTGAGGTATGTTATGCCACTGCATTCCAGCCTGGGTAACGGAGCAAGACGCTGTCAAGAAAGAAAAAAGAAAGAAAGAGAGTCAGGGTTGCAAGGGAGGAAAGATGGGAGGAAAAGGGGAGGGAGGGAGGAAGCAAGGAACGGAGGAAAGATGGGAGGAAAAAGGGAAAGGAAGGAGGAAGGGAGGGAAGGAGAAAAGGAGTAAGGAAGAGAAGGAGGCAGGGAGAGAGGAAAAAGGGAGGGAGGGAAGGAGGGAGGGAGGGAGGGAGGAAGGAAGGAAGGAAGGAAGGAAGGAAGGAAGGAAGGAAGGAAAAAAAAGAGAATACAATATCCAGAATGCTATATATTTACTTCTCTTCTGGAGACTTTCTCCCAAACTGGCAACTGGCAATTGTTTCATGTCTGTGTGACTGTAGAGACCCCCTACTTTTTTTCTCTAGGTTGTGGAACTTTATGCACACACACACACACACACACATTCTAACTGATACAATAAATTGCCATTTTTTATTTGAATATCTCAAAAGCACAATAACTACATCAAACAGTGTCTCCACCTCTGTTCTTATACAGAGATGTGGTCAATGCAGTTTGCTTAAGGATATAAGAGGAACATTGACCATTTAGGGCAACTATCTAGTTATCTCTTAACATTGTGAAATATGCACTTCCTATATCAAATCTGTCAAGCATCAAATCTGTAGATCTGGTGTATAGAACATATATTGGATTATTTTTCTCTTTTTTATTTTAACATCCATCCTATTCAAATCTGCTATCATCCCTAACACAAACTATGTAATATCCTCTTAACTAAACTTTTATACTCTTCTGCACAATGGCCATTCTCTATAGATATTCTCTATAAGAAAAACATTGTTTTGAAAATGTAAACTAAGTCATATCTCTTCTTGACAAAGCCTTTACAGATGGTTTCCAATTGACTTTGGAAAAAAAATGTATACCTCAGCTCAAATCTCATTTTGATAAAAAGTCGTTCTAATCTAAATTAGTACAAAATCCACTTACTGTCATAATACCGCTATGTTTATTTTAGAGTGCTATACGTTTTAAATTGTGTCTGGACTTTTTTTTCTGCATAATCATTTTTAGGTACAGATGCTCCTTATCTTACAATGGGGTTGTGTTTTGTTAACATGTAATAAATTAATAAACCATATAACAAAACTTAATTTTAACAGCTCTTGCTTCAAGTGGAAAAAAAAAAACCCACAGGTTTTCTTATAGTGATGAACACAGCCTGTTGAACTTAAATGAGTCACATCTTCATATAATATCCTCTCTTGAATTGAAGATGATACTTGCTTCTAATCAATAAAATATGTTGATGGTAATGATGTGGTGTCACTAACTTTATTAGATTACATTATATAACAATAGTGATAGGATATTACCTATTCAAGATGGAGAGAAAGGCCATACATCTGACCTTGAGGAAGTGAAAAGCAGTCATGTGATGAACTGCTTGTGGAAAGGTTCAACAGATTGGTAACTACACTAGACCTGTGGGACCTGAGGGTAGCCTACATTTAATAGTTAGTAATAATGTGGACTTTCAACCATATAGTCAAAAGGTAATAAACTCTGCCAATAACCTGAAAGAACTTCAAAGCAGATTTTTTTCCCAGAGCCTCCAGCTGAGAACACAGCCCAGTCAACAGTTTAATTGCAACTGTGAAATACTTCAAGCAGAGGACCCTTCTAGCTGTGCACAGACTCCTGACTCAAGTAGATTATGAAACAACTAATGTATGTTATTCTAAGCCACTCAATATGGTAATCTGTTACACAGCAATTGAAAGCTAACATTTTATGTATACCTAAAAATAATTTTTTTTTCTTCTCGTATTATTTAGCAGAAATTGGTAGAGCAAACAGGCTGTGATGGCTTATTTTATGTGTCGACTTGATTGGACCATCGAGTTTCCAGATATTTGCTCAAACATTACACTAGATGTTTCTGTGATGGTGCTTTTGGATGAGATGAACACTTAAATTGGAAGACTAGGTAAGGTACATTGTCCTCACTAATCTGAGTAGGCATCAACCAATTAATTGAAGGCCTGAATGGAGCAAAAATACTAACTCTTCCCTGAGTTAAAGGAAATTTCTCCTGGCTGACTACCTTTTAACTGGAACATTCTCTTTTTCTTTTCTTCAAACTTGAACTGAAGCATTACTTCTTCCTGGTTTTCAAGGCTGCCAGCCTTTGGGCTGAAACAACACCATGGCTCTCCTAGGTCTGGTTTGCAAATTTACCTTGCAAATCTTGGGGCTTATCAGACTCCATAATCATGTAAACCAATTTTTTATGTCTTCTTTTGTGTGCATGTATACATATATATTCTATTATTTTGTCATTTATATCCTATTTTATATATATGTATATATATCCTATGTTTTTACCTACCTACTATCTGTTTATCTATCTGTATTCTATTCATTCTGTTTCTTGGAAAACCTTGACTGATACATATTTAAGTACCAAGAGTGGTTCTAGAAGAATAGAATTTTAAAGATAAATTTTCTGAATTGGGTCTGGGGTTTCTGTAATTGAATATGTAATATGATAATACTTAAATATGCCAATAACTCTATTTCCAGTGGTAAGAAAGCTAGTAGTTCATAGTATGATGTGGCAATAGAGATGAGCAAAATATTACCATTGCACACTCCTAACCAACCACTTATAAATAAGGATCTGAGTAACTGTATATATGATACTTTTAAACATCATTGTCAAACTAACAAATAAAATGGCATTGCCTGGTTGCTTCTAGAGTTTCCTGGACAAAACATGGAAATAAAACGACGAACACAGTGAATTGAATTCCTACCTCAAGCACTACATAAATAACCTTAAAGCTTCTATGTGGGCCCTGATGAGACCCTTATCTCCTGCAGCGGCAGGGCTGATATTGCTAAAAATCAATTCTGAATGTCGTCTTGTAACTGACTGAATCCCAATGAGAGTTAAACTCCCCACGTCTCAGAGTGTTTCCTCTTAAAATAAATACATTGATTGGGAAGAATGAAAAACTAAAAATTGAAATGGAGATGTGAAAAGAAACTGATCAAGCTGGAGCCATTGAGTCTCTAGACTCCAATGAGTCTTCTTTGCCAGGGGAAGCAGGCTCTCCGCTCCCATCTGACAAGATTAACCCTGCATTTTCTGCGGAAACTGTAATGCCTTTCCCTGAGGTAGTTGCCATCAATTTTCCTGGTTCTTAGGCCTTTGAATTTGGACTGGAAAGACAGTATCAGCTCTCCTGGGTCTCCAGATTCCCAACTCACCCTGCCATCTTGCTATCTTGGTAGTTAGCCTTCATAATTAAGTTAGCAAATTCTTTATAATTAACCAACAAATAAATAAATAAATAAATAAATACTACATTGGTTCTCTTTCTCCAGAGACCCTGAATACATGTATGAAGACTATCATTAAACTCTTACATTTATGAATTTATTCCTGATCATAGATGTAAATAATAAAAATGACTGAGGCTTGCTGGTTCTGACTTTGCACATCATGCCACAAATTTCACAAATTTAGCTAGGTTTCAGTATGGCAACTAATAATAGATATTTTCTTGTAAAAACTGAACTAGGACAAAGAAAAGCCAATCTCATATTTTAGACAACGTTCTACTCAAATGTTAATGAAGTAAGTATATTTATGCCTTTCATTTGTACTTACGGTAGAATGACTTCTACTTTACAGTAACAAATTGATATATATATCCACCTGATAACTTGAAGTAGAAAGGTCTTTGCAGAGTATTTAAAATATAACTCCATATATATGGTCATTATATCTTTTGGTTACAGTTATAAAACTACAGTATTTACAGTATTCTATTTTGCTGATTTTGTCCTAAAGCCTAGAATAGTTTATGACTTTACTGTTTATGCAATGTTCTATTTAAAGGAATACTTCATTCTGTCTTTTTTTTATCAACTGATTCTGCATTTCTTTTTAATCACCACTTCCATAAAATGACTGATTAAAATTAGTCATTGCTATAAGTAGCATTAGTATCTGGAATCCTCCAGTATATTTCAAAATTATAGTTCAGAAGGCAATTAGCAAACTCAGATTGTTAGTTTCATGTGATTATTTATAATACATAGAGGAAAAATAATAGCCAAATCTGGTTCTCTAGTAATTAATTATGTGTACATATTTATATCTAAAGTATCTCCTGCTCCAAAGTTTGGAAATAATAATTAACAATAATCGACATGATATAATTCTGCACTTGAGTGAGTTAAATTAATTTACAAATAAGCTTCTTTCCCTTTAATGTATTTCAATTCATTTATCTTCAAACAAATTCTTATCCACATCCATGCATTTTCCACTGCTGTACTCTCAAAAAACAAAACCAACAGGGAATCACAGTATTTTGAAGGGGGTATTTATTATTTTGCTTGACAATTATTATAATCCTATTTGCTATATTTTTTCTCACTGTTTTATTTCTTAGTCAACTCATATGATTCATTTCATTCCACGTTTATTTCAAGTAAATGTCTTTATTCTGCATATTTCTTAACAATTTTTGATAATGGCCACCTTTTAACACTCTATGTATTTTTACAAAATAACAGTTGGAAAATTAGATTACGGATGATTAATGTTAAGTGATGGGTTTAGTATTAAATATATGTTGAAAAAATAATTTTTGGCTATGAAAATTATTAAATCTTTTACTTAATTACAATTAATTAGTATTAGTAATAATAATAATCAGTTGTATTATTTTCATTATGGCTGTGAAATATAAAAAATAAATTATCCTTTATCCATCAAAAATAGGACTCTACACGTATTCAAAACATGCATCATGAGTATTGGCAAACAAAATAAGTGTCCTTGAAATCAAACATTCTTCACTGCAGTTCAAGTCACTTGATACATTGCTAACATATCAGATAATTAAATGGACATGTAAGTACTAGCTATTTAAAGCAACTTTGGATAATAGATTTATTGAGTATGTATAAAACACCAGATTCATGGAGTAAAAAACAAACACATAGTTCAAGGACAGTAAGGAGAATATTTGATACCTAAGTTGTTATCTGCCAAGTAATCTGCATTTTGTAGTCACTTGTCAAATTTGATTAATTGTGAGTTCAGAGGACAGTCAGTACACAGCAGCCTTCGTTAGATCCAGAAATTTTCTGTGCCCTTCACCAGTAGTTGGAATGGTTCTGCTTACATATTTGACTTCTGCATTATATATATATTAGAAGCCTCATACACAGAGGCATGGTGAATTTAGTTTTTTTTTTTTTTCTCATGGAAAAGAAATAATAATACTGGAAGTAGACAGTTACAAACATCCATTAACATCTTCAATGATCTCACAATCATTTTTCAAGAGAGGTAATTTCAAATTGATTTTAATAACTCAAAACAATATTCACCATAAAACACGTTTTCTAGACAAAATTTGCAATAAAGCAAGCTGCAACAAAATGGAGTGCAAGTACTAAAAGAATTAGCAAACATGCATTGAAGTATAACCCCTGAGTCACCAAAGGATAAAGCATAAAGCAAGCCCAAACTGAGAGAACCTGTTATTACCTAACATTGTCTCAGTATGTCAGAATCACCCTGCCTCCTTCATTCATCTCCTCCAGTTCATAAATATATTCCAGCATCATCACCCAGCTTCATTTCTCTCCCTGTGAATTTCTGAAAGAGATTACCTTCAGTGAAGTTATCATGGAAGAGTAGGGAACAATCCAACAATAACATCTATGTTTAAACATTGATAGTCTAAAGACAATCTCTGTATGTCTCCTATGTTCCTAAATGATTTCACAGGTATTAGTACAGGAAAGGTGAGGTAAGTCTCAAAGGAATAAGATTTTATCTGAAGCAAAATAAATAACATAAACATTTAATTATCTGAAGCAAAATAAATAACATAAACATTTAATTATTTTAAGACAAAATAAGCTTGATATCAGTAGGAAGCTAAAAGGATCACATTGTACCTGTTCATTGTTGAAGATTTCTTCCAGTGAGTATTTTTTCCAAATTTATTTGATTTATTCATAAACCATATTTCCTTTATAAACATTTTTTGTAACCATCAAGCTATCTTCAGCTTGCTCTGAGTCACCGCTACCCTTCCTTCAGTTTGAGTTTGTTGCCAATGAATGCATTAAAACCTAATTATTGTGGAATACAATGAATTATAATAGCTTCTATTAAAATAAATGTAAATAATCCATCCCATACACATTGCAATTTGACTTCTTCCTGAAGTAGTTAGTCATTGACAAAGTAGCATGTGTGTCAGGAAAGCTTACCCTTTAGACCTATGCTAAAATCAAAAGAACACAACTATTTAACAAGGAAAGAAAGTTTTAACAGCAGTGCTTTGTCTAGGGGGAATTCTAGTATTGTGAAGGATATCCAGGGAGACAGCGATAAAAATACAACAAGTTGACTGAAGTTTGTAAATTAATTTAGCAATTGCTATGACAAAGCTGCAGGCATAGAGCTAGCTAATAAAATGTGCCAATCATGTAGCCTTTAAATAAAAGTGCAAGGAGCAGCTATTGTAGACTGTAATGGTCCTGCAATATTTAATCTTTTTTTCCGGACATGACCTTGTATAATAAATCCCAGGATATTTTCTGGGAAAGGAGAACTTATTACAACTACACAGCTGTCATATTTATGGTACTTTGCTTTCTATTTTACCTGTATAATTATGTTTTTGAATTTTTTAATTAAGTTAGTATGATAATAAAACCATTTTAGAGAGAGAAAAAAGTACACACATTTAGGCAGCAGATATAAACAACGCGCTACATTTTCCACAAACTTTATCAGGTATGATTTCTTCTGTATATAGATAAAAAACAGTTATCCACCTAGGAATATGAATAACCATAAATTTAAAAAGAATCAAATTCATACACTTACCAATTTAACAAAAGCAATTACACATTTTGACTTTGCTTCTACCTCAATAAAATGTATAGAAGTGAAAATTAAGTTATGGCCTGATTTGCTTTTCAATCTAAATTAAGTTTTCATATTTTTTACAATAAATGTTACATTTACAACACAAAAGATAAGATAAATGTGGCTGCCACCTGCAAATCATTGTGTTTTAAAACAGAGTCCCATCAGGGTAAAAATAAAATATTTTGAATAGTTTTAAATATAGCAATTACTCTAACACACACAAACACAGACATATTCACACAAATATTTATGTTCATGTGTAAGAAGCACATGCCTCAGGAACAATCTTGGAAAATTTCTATTAGTAAAGTAACAACCATGTTAGCAGTCTTTTTTGTTTTTATGACAGAATGTAATCTGGTATCTTTCAGAAACAGTTTAATTTTTCAGGTCCGAATCTCAGAATTTCACAGTTTGAATAGACTTAAATAGGCATTTAAGGCCGGGTGCTGTGTTTCATGCCTGTAATCCCAACACTTTGGGAGACTGAGGAGGGCAGATCACCTGAGGTCAGGAGTTCAAGACCAGAGGGTCAACATGGTGAAACCCTGTCTCTACAAAAATACAAAACTTAGCCAGGCATGATGGCGGGTGCCTCTAATTCCAGCTACCCGGGAAGTTAAGGCAGGAGAATTGCTTGAATCCAGGAGGCAGAGGTTGTAGTGAGCCAAGATCGTGCCATTGCACTCCAGACTGCGTGACAGAGCAAGACTCTGTCTCAAAAAAAAAAAAAAAAAGAAATTTAAAACATGTATACTGTCAACCAAGAAGAGATAAAAGACCAAAGGCAAAAAGCACCTAAGGTGTTCTTTGGGGTCTTAGAAATTACAATCTGGGACATACAGATTTGACTAAAAGCCAAATTGTGTTCTGTAAAAGTAAGGAGATTAGGGATATTTAAAAGAACCCTGATGGTGTATGACAGCTTGTTTTGAAAAAATTATCATTGGTGGAGGTGGTTGGTTTAGTGTGAGTCCATACTTCATGGTTGTTGCTGTTCAGGAGTTGTGGTCCTGGTGAAATTCAGCTGTTGTCCAGATTGTGGTTGTGGTGATTCAGCCCAGTTGAAATGCTCAAGGCAAGCTACAGTTCCACAAGGTCATGCAGGGAGTCCTTAGAATGACTTCCAGGCTCCATTTTAGAGCTGTGAAACACTGATGCCATTTTGTATGAGAAATTTCACAATACATTGTGGAATGGCTAAATTGAGCTAATCAATATTTGCATTCCCTCACATAATTATCATTTTTTAATTCTTAGAAAACTTAACATCTACTCTATTGGTAGTTTTCAAGTATACAGTTTTCACTACAGTCACCACATTGTACAATAAATCACTTGAACTTATTCCTCCTAACTGAAATTTTGTATCATTTGACCAACATCTTCCCACACCTGCAGACCCTTTGGGCATTCCATAACGTATACATATTTCAAAACAACCATGTTGCAGAGGACAGATATATATACACTTTTTGTTTGTCAATTAAAACAAATCTGCACCTGTGAGAACCTTCAGTGGGTTGAGCTGTGCTCTAAGATGAGAACTCCTAATTTTACATTGTGTTATTTCTTGTATTCATGGAAAGAAGCAATATACTATATGTTTTAATTTTTTAAAAGACAATCAATCTAACTGCCTACCTAGTGTTTAATTTGATTGTACCATACTAACATCAGCGAGATCAACTTGCTTTTGTGCTTCACTGTATCTCAGAGCCACATCGTCCATCATCTTTTGTTTTGTTTTCTGAGACAGAGTCTTACTCTTCACCAGGCTGGAGTGAAGTGGTGCAATCTCGGCTCACTGCAAGCTCCACTTCCCAGGTTCAAGGGATTCCCTTGCCTCAGTCTCCCAAGTAACTGGGACTACAGACACACACCACCACACCCAGCTAATTTTTTTTTTTTTGTATTTTAGTAGAGACAGGGTTTCTTCATGTTGGCCAGGATGGCCTCGATCTCCTGACCTCGTGATCTACCCGCCTCGGCCTCCCAAAGTGCTGGGATTACAGGCATGAGCCACTGCGACTGGCCTCCATCTTTATACAACTTTTAATGTTGAACAATTTTTTAGTTGAAGTATGCCTTCTTTTCCACATTTGTTATATTAATTAGACTAACATCTGGTCATAGCTGTTTTTGAATGTCCATTCTTTTTATTATTTAATATGTACAATTACTTAAAATGTATCTTGAGATATAGAGCTAGAAAACAAAACTACTATTTGTCCTTTTCTAAACTGCAACCAGTATGCTATTTTAGTAGCTGTGATTGAAAAGTGTAGTGGACATAAGCCCCTGTGGTTTGTTTGTTCACAAAATAGAAATATATGTATGTGTGTTTGACTGTGTTTGTAAATATGAAAATAAAACAGGGTAGTTCTATTGACTCCTTCATGAGACTTGTGAAGAGGTTGACTCATTTATGCAGCCCATAGCTCTCAACCCCTCATAGGAGCGGGAGCATGCAGGTGAGTGAGTGCAGCAGCCAGGATGAACTCCAAGCGTCCCTGCAACAGTGTCTAGAGGGATACCCATGACCCCAGACACCCAGACGGCGTGTGTTAGCTTTGCCATGCACAGATGGTTTAAGTGTTTAACAGCTTAGTGGAGGGTCAGGGTGACAGTCTTTTGCATCGTCCATCTTGGTATCTGAGTTCTTGTCCTGGCATCCAGAAAGAATCAGGCCACACAAATGGGTTGAAGGGTGGTGAATGTGTAGGATTTTACTGAGCAGTGGAAATGGCTCTCAGTGGGATGGGAAGCTGGAAAGGGGATGGAGTGCGAAGGTGGTCTTTCCTGGAGTTCGGCAGTCTTCAGCCAAACTCTTCTCCAAAGTCTCACTGTCAAGCCATTCCTTTGAAGTCAAGCTGGTTCTCTCCAACATCTGGCTGCTGCTTCTCTACTCTCCCTCTCTGCTACTCCACTTTTCCACTCTGCTGTTCCGACACCTCTCTGCCAGTGGAGCCTAGGGTTTTTATGGGTACAGAGTGGGGGGTGGAGTGGGCCAAAAAGCAACATTCAAGTGGGAAAATAGGAATGCATGTTCTCACTTTGGGGCATTGTTCCACACTTGAGGGTGTGGCCCTTACTGGGACCACCCTCTTCTACCCAGTATTTCCCTGCCTCCCGTGCATATCAAATATACATAAATATATATGTCTGAACCCTTCTTCAAAAAAGCTTAATATATTTAGATGATAATCGGCAGAGAAAGTTTTTATTACCTAATGTCAAGTGGCCTGAAAAGTATTCGTAAGTGGTATTTGTTTGCACCAATTGTCTCTAATTCATACTTATACACGTAATGGTGTATATCTGACGACGACTGACATAAGATATCATTTAACTTTAACAGAGAACATATACATTTTCCTTTTAACTTTCCTATCTTTTATTTGCCTGATAAGGTTCATTGTGCAGTATTGGCCGTACTGTGAATTCCCACCAAACCCAGCCAGAAGATTAAATATAAACTCTGACACACAAACATTGCCTCCTTTTTATTTCCCACTGAAAATAGTAGAGTGCTGAAGTTATATTCTTGTCCTCTAACATCAGACTGCCTGGGTTCAAATACTAGTTCTTAGCCTCTTTTATTCTTAACCTTACTGTGCCTCAGTGTCCTCAATGGTATAAGGTAATGCTATTGACACCCAATACATAGGGTCATTAAGAGGCTATGATATAATTAACATATGAAAAATGATACTCAGTATAATATCTGACACATGATAATCTCTCCAGTAAATATTGGGCTTTATCCCTCTTTAAGTCATCTCCTATTGATATTTTATTTTATGGTTTCTCCAAGCATTTCCTAAAATACCATCACTTGTGTTGTGATATAGGTAACCAGGAATCAGTTTCCTTATTTAAAATATGATGAAATATTACTCTGTGAAAGATGAAGGGATGTGTTTTATTTCTTCTTTAGAAAGGAAGAACCTACATCACTGGAGGTGAAGGTAGAAAGCGAATGAAGAAGGATGCATCAGGGAAAGGCATTTATATTTCATATTTTTAAGAAAAGCAACCAGAATTACCATGTCCAATTCCCAAGAAGAAACAACAGAATAAAGAAAATCTCCTAAAGACCCACATCTACCAAGTTTGACAAAAGCCTGTATATCCAGTATGCGAAGT